GGCGCGTCGAGAAGGGGGCCGGCCCCGCAGGGCAGGCCCAAGCCCGTCAGGCAAGCGGTCAGGGCGCCCGGACCAGCCTGCCGCGGGGAGGCCGAAGGAGACGCGCCCGCCACTCCGTTCTTACCGGCTACAAACGGAACTCCGGGCGATCCGAGGGGACCTTCCGTGAACACAAGCTGCCGGGCACCAGCCGAGGGCCGAAAGGCGGAGTTCTCGCGGTAGCACAACCTTCCTCTCACGCCTCACCGCGCACATCTGACAGTCTCGCGAGAGCGCTCCGGTCGGCCCAAAGCCCTCACGTGCCCGGCAGAGGGCGGAGCGCAGGCGCGGTGTTGCCTGTGCTCTGGGGCCCCGTCCTTTCGCCCTTCCAGAATAATCAGGTCAAATGAAAAACATTTGTTGAAGACAAACTTTGTACCAAGTAATATACTGCGTGACCCTGTCCTAGCAGATGCCCTCACAGGTGGATATTATTTAGCCTTAGCGTACAGATACAATAAATGGCAGAAGACACGAAAGGGTAAATAGTGTGTGATTCTACTTGTATCCTTAGGGCAGAAATAGAATAGTCGTGTTAGGGGCAGAAGTAGAACAGTGCGGAGTAGCTATAGTTAAAAGAAATACTGATCATGCTCTGTGAACCGAGATTGCTCGGCTCTGATGGGCGCGTTCTGGCCCGGCCGAGGGGTGTGCGCCGGGGAGCTGGCCCTGGGAGGCCGCCCTCTCTCTCTCCCGAGGCCTCCCCTCCTCCGGAAGGAGCAACAGCCTCGTCCCCCACACAATGGAGTCCTGGAGGCCCCCCGCCCTTTTCGACCGCGGCCGCAGTGCCTGCAGTCCAGCATTATATCTCGCCCACTTCCCCAGGCCTGTAATTCCCACTTTCCCATGTAACCTTCCTCCTTCTGCCCAACATAAGCAGCTGGCTTATTGGGGGGAGGGCTGCTCCCAGGAGAGAGCCAGTGGAGCCTGAGTCTTAATGATTTCAAGGGTGGAGATTTTAGGGGAGGTCCCAGGGGACGATCTCATTATAATATTCAGCAGCTTTCCAGGCGTGTCCTTTCAGGGTTGTGGTCTCCACTGACTGGCTTGCCAGCGCCGGGGTCCTTGTCCAATGCAGCTGGTCCTGAGGTCAGCTGTGCCTGGTTTTGTTGCTTTGGGGGGCCTGGAGCTGAAATACAACTGAGGCCTAGATGTTATCTCTAGGGAGGAAAGGTCAGGGGGTCCAAACCCACAATATGCTAGGGAAGGAAAAGCTACCCTGGGGGCAGAGTCCCACCCTACAGTTGTTTGTTGCTAGGCACCTGGGGCTTTCCACCCTGAAGACCTTCTGTACCTAACCCACCTTGCTCTGCTCTGCTCTCCTCTAACTGCCTACCACAGAAGGGTGGTTGCCACAGGCTTGGGAAAGGTGAATTTTTGTTTAATGGGTACAAAGTTTCAGATTGGGATGATGGGAAGTTCGGCAGTTTGGAATAGTGGTGATGTTTGCATAACAATGTGAATGTAGTTAACACTACTCAGTTGTGCACTTAATGGTTAAAATGGTAAATTTTATGTTATGTATATTTTGCCACAATTTTTTTAATTCAGTAAATAAATAAGTAAATGTCAGAGCCCACATTCTAAGCCACATCATCTGACTCCAAAGCATATATTTGTTTGCACCTTGTCACACCACAGTTTTCTACCCCCCACATCCCTCCACTCTGCACAACCCCTCACAATCTGCTCAGTGTGGCATTAGCCACATTGGAACTTTTTGTTTATTTACTTGTGACCAGATGTTAAAATAGGAATCTTTCTGTCTCTCTTTTGACAGAGGTCCCCAATACTTGGTGCTAACTCTGCCCCACCTTTCCCAGAAAGGTGAAGGGCCATCTAGTAGGATTTACAAAGGAAATGACCATGATAGGGTTTTACGGATCCCACCCAAGAGTGACTCCTTCGAGAGCCAGGGCAATCTGAGCAGAAAGCAACAGGAAATGTAGATTCATATGCAGAAGCTAAGAAGGCGTAGTCATAGCCTTTAAGTGGAAGGGGAGCTATGGAGGAAAAGGAGCAGTAAGTAGGGAGTGTCAGAGAGGCCTCAGAAGCCCCTTGAGGAAGTGCTCACCCTAAGCACCACCACCAGGGAGCCAAGACTGCATCAGACCCTTAACTCCCCCCTCCTCCCTTCCCTTTTCAGTTCAGATGCAGATTCACTGAAAGTGACCAAAGCACTTTCTTTTATTATCTTAGGGTGACTCCAAAAAAAACCTAAGGGGCCTGCCTAGGATTGTTCAACCAGTCCAATGACATGTTTGAACAGAAAAGGTTAGGGAGCAAAGGAAAAATAAAGCTCTTTACCGATTGCCCACAGATTGTTCAACCAACGACTGCTTGCTTGCTTGCTTGTGATCTGTCACATACGCACACAACGGACTCCAAGCCCCAGGAAAGCAGGGACCTGGTCTCTCTGGTTCATTGCTGCATCCCCAGGCCCATAGCACTTCCTGGCCTAGGCACTTAGTAAAGACCTGTTGAGTGAACACATGCCCTCTAACACAGAAGCAAGAGATGATCAACATCGTCACTGTTGTTTTTTTAAATTTTTTAAAATTATACCTTTGTAAATTAAGATGTTTAGTAGGTTGTTGTTTTTTTATGTTTTTATTGATTTTAGAGAGGGAGGAAGGCAGAGGGAGAGAGAGAGAGAGAGAGAGAGAGAGATCAATCTGCTCCCTCCTGCATGCTCCCTATTGGGGTCGAGCCTGCGACCCCGCCAAGGGCTGACCCGAATCAAACTGGTGACCTCTCGGGGCATGGGATGATAGCCAACCGAGCCACACTGACCAGGGCAGCATTGTCACTGTTTAAGTCCCTAAATTTTGCCGTGGTCTGTATGCAGCTAGACACAGCGGACCCACCCGGAAGCCCTGCACCCGAGCCATTGTCCCAAGCCAGAGCCCTGGGCCTTGCGGTCCCGTCAGGCTGCACGTGGTCTCAGAGCTACTGCTTCCAGGCTGTTCTGTTCTGTCCAACCCGCTCCAGCCTCAGGCAAACACAGAGGAGCATGAGGGACACAGCGTGCAGGACACTCTCTCAAGAAGAGGAAGGGAGGATAAACATGAAAAACTCAACAGAAATAAGGGATCTGATTTCACTTTGAAGACGCATCAGGTTTTGAATTATTTGCCAGGTAGTGGGGCAGCGGGAGCGGAGCGCAGGGCTGCACGAGGAGCGCGGAAGCAGCGGGGCGGCAGTGGGGCGTACAGCGATTACTGGAGTACAGGAAAAATATCACTTTTATGCATATTTATTTTTTGTTCCCTCCAATAAATGTTTGAATGCTTTATAATGCGTATAAAAATCAATGCACACATAATTTATAAATTACAAGTATACACATATTCAAGTGCTTGCTCAAGTATTTTTTATTTTTGTTTTTTTACTGATAGGTAGTGTTATAAGATCATAGGCTGTTTAGAGGCCATAGGAGAATGAGGCCTGGCCTGGGAGGACTGGGCGCCTCGGCTGGGAGCCCTGGGCCCACCAGAAGCACATTATGTCATCCATTGTTCAACAGGACAAATGTCTTTTGGATTATTTCGCCTCACCACCGTATAGCTGCAGGTCTTGGGGTGGAAGACTTTCATGCACTTGCCTAGGTCATAACGCACAGGAAAAGGAACCCTGTCATTGAGACAAGAGCAAGGCCTATTAGAAGGGTAGCCCACACTCCGGCTGTCTGGGATGCCCCTCACCAACTTAAGGTCATCCCTTAGCTTGCAACCCCAAAGTGCTGCCTTCAGGAACCTGGATTTGAACACATAGAACCTGGTCTGTGAACACATAGCCCACCCCTGACCTCGTTCCTAAGTTCCATCCTGCATGCACAGGACAGAAGTAAGTTCTGAGAGGCCCAAAAGCAGGTCTGAGCTACTCTGGGGCCAGGCAGCTTGCTCCACCCTGACTCTTCTGGCCATCCTTGCTCAGGAAGTGGCCAGCAGTGCTGCTGCTTGAATGTGGGAAGGGAACAGTTGTCCCATTCTAATGGAGAACTATTAGAATAGGAATTGGCTGCCCAACCGCGTGGCTCAGTGGTTAAACATTGACCTGTGATCCAGGAGATCACAGCAAGATTCCTGGTCACGGCACATGCCCGGTTGTGGTTGCGGGCTCCATCCCTGGTGGGGGGCGTGCAGGAGGCAGCCAATCAATGACTCTCATCACTGAGGTGTCTATCTCTCTCTCCCTCTCCCTTCCTCTCTCTCTAAAATCAATAAAAACATTAAATTAAAAAAAAAAAAAAAAAAAGAAAGAATAGGAGCTGGTTAAGCCAACAGGTTCAAAGAGTCACTCCAGGCCAGGATCATGGAGTCCAGGGAGCAGCTGGTGAAAACTGGAGACCATCTCTCCAGGAAAGTCCACCCACACATTCAAGGGTGTAAACAATATTAGGGCTCATCACTCTCTTGGAACCCATAAATCCCAGATTTAATTGCCTCTGCCAAAAGTGTACACAGAAGCAGCCATCTCCAGGGCCCTTTTGAGAATATTTTTTTCCAAAAGGTCACCTTTGACTTATTTTAACAGAAGAGGACATTTCAATCTTCCTCCCAAAGAGAATGGAAAACCAAGTGAGGGCTGGAAATAGATTTTCCCAGGGCACCTGGGTTGGAGAGCCTTGGCAATAGGGAGGCCACTGGGCAGCTTGAGATCTGAACAATGTCCCCTAGGAGGGCAATGGGTCCAAAAAAGTTATCCCAGAGAAAATTTAATCAAAGGTAGTATTTTGCTATAGCAAAAAAAAAAAAAATTATGAAAAAGTCTTGGTAGGATATGAGGCAATTCCAGAGAAAAGGAGTTGTCTTTGAACAGGAGAGAGAACTGTGCATATTTCCTCCCTGTGGAGCAGTGTGCTAAAGGGGACAGGCACATGGAAAGAAAGAGAGAAGGGACACACACTTCGAGTTCCAACTAGGTGTTCATTACTGTCCCAGACTCAGGGGACACAGACTGGCATAGAGAAGGCATAATATATGTTGATTTAACAAATTTATATGCAGAATCTCATTTAATTCTTATTTACACCTGATTACCCCTATTTTATCACGAGGAAACTGCGGCTCAGAGAGATTAAGAAATATATCCATGGTCACACAGCAGGTATACACAGAAATGGGTATTCAGACTCTGCTACTGTACTCCAGCACTGAGCCTCTTCCCACT